CACAGAAATGACTCAGTGTGTAAAGACACTTGCTTCCAAGGCTGTTATGCTGATTTCAATCCCAGATCCAATTTGGTAGAAGTAGAGAACAAACTTCCCCATGCCAACTAAGCTCCTTATAAGTGCAGTAGCATTTTCTCACCCATACATTGATGTATGCATGAGTAAACACACATATTCTCCCTCTCTCATGCAGATAGCTAAAATTCATAAGTAACTGTAAATTAATAGTCAAATTGTGGCTCTTGCCTATTTTCTTATCTACCAACATAATATTCTTTAAATCAGTGCCATTGTATCTTCATTCATTCTTTCATTCATTCTTCCACTTGTGTGTGAGCCTTTTCAGGTACTGGAGCATCCTAAAACAGCAGCAGCATTCTGTCCTGCCAAAGCTCTAGTTTCAGTGCACCCAGAGGCAGGCAGGAATTTGGCATCTAGAAAGTGAATTAGGAATTGACTAGAACTTCAAAGAAAAAAAAGGAAGAGAATGAGAAAGGATGGCTGGAAACATGGCCCAGTGTTTAATACCACAAGGTGCTCTTCCAGAAGTTACGAGTTCAGTTCCCAGCACCTATGTGAAGGGGTTCACAAAGTTACTTAATTCCAGCTCCAGGGACTTCCTCCAATCCCTAGGTGTTCACTAATCAACTGGACATCTTTTTTCTGAGTATCATCATGTAGAAACCAGCTGTTCCAGTATCCTGGCCCTTAGCAAACTGTTCTGATAGGCTTATGGAACTTTACAGGAATGTCAGGGAGCCCTAAGGGAGGGACAGAAGATATGAGACGTCCTGATGGCTTCATGTCCTCAGGGATTGAGTCTAGCAAATTCTCTTCCGCAGGCAAGTAATAACAGATGGTGCTCACTTAGACAGCTGTCCTGTCCCAGTGTCAGGGCCATGTTCATATCTGAGGCTTCCTTATTACTATGGCAACACTCATTAACAATATGTGTTATTACTGGAAAGGAAACACAGAAACATAGTGTGTACATCTGTCTCACAGACCATGGGTGACAGGGAAGCTGTCTGTGTATAAGCACATATGTATTGTCTTCACTTTGGTGGCCTTCTCAGGTATATGTGAAGCAGGAGCAGTTGCTTTTTACAGACTCCACCTGCCATCGGCAGCTTGAGGAGATGTCTGCTCCATGAATTAAAAACAATGGAGAATTAGCTTTGATTATAAACCTAACCTACTCACCTCTAGATAATTTCTGGAAAATTTTAGGACTCCATAGCCCAGTTATAGGTCAGGAAATTTTGTGTGTTTTCTGGCATGTGGCTATCACCACTCCAGAAAGGCAAAGGAAAATTCTTTGCTTTGTACCTTCCAAAAGATCCTGCATCTATCACAGGTCTCTCTGCTCAGGTAGTCATTGATTTCAAGCTTTAGGGTCTTCCTGTTATTGTACCACACTGTACTTTTTAGAGCAAAAATAATTTTTGGGATTGGGCTTAGATCTTGGGTATTAGAAACAAAGGTCTCATATGAAGAATTATAGAATCCTAAATTTCAAATCCAGATCTGCCAAACACACCGGCCTATCCAGGCATAGTCACAGCAAGTTCTTGCTCATTGACTTCTACCACTCAGATCTGCCTCTGAAAACATTTTCCTGTGAGTGCTGGAGAGATGGCTCAGTAGTTAAGAGCTCTTGTATCAGACCCAAGTTCTGTTTTCAGCAACCCATGCCTTCTCATAACCAATCTGTTATTACCATTTCCAGGGTATTCAATGCTCTCTTCTGGCTTATGGGGACACAGGGCATACTTGTGGTTCACAGATATATATGTAGTAAAAATAACCATACATGTGAAAACAAAGGAAAGAAGGAAGGAAGGAAGGAAGACATGAAAAAAGAAAGATAAGAGGAAAGAAATGATACAGCAAGCTGCCTTTCAGGAAGAACTTTGCTATGGCCCTTAACTATACAAAACAGCATCAAAGCCAAGACAATTGTTCTTATTCAAGCTCACCTTTAACCCATTGTCTTCTTTCTCCTAGATCATTCTGTGACTCATCCTTTCATTTTGGGGATCCATGCCTCATCTCAGTCACCATCAAACACCTGGAAAGATTGGCTCATGTTGTGATCCAGACTGGTCATTTAGCTGAATGACGAACCCACTCCTGGTCTCACGTGTGAAATTTCTATCCATAAATCCTGAGGACTGTTTGTGGGTGTTTCTCAGGGAAACTGAATAAAAAGTCATATTCTGCCCTATTTAGGACTTCCTTAAACATCATTGCCTTGGAGGACACTGTTCCAGGCCCAGCAATGGATATAAGTACACTAGGAGGGACACAGCACTCTGTTGCAAGGCAGACAGTGGCTTAGTGAGGTCCAGAAGAGAAAAAGGACATCTGAATCCAGATCTTAAATCTGTATCATCAAGCTCTGTAGCTCATCTCACAGCATGTCAAAGAGAGTTTCTCCCACACAGCAGAGATGGAGACCTACCATCTCTGAGTATTACGGACGTTCAGCATCTGACTGTGACTCATCTTCTGCCTAGTTTTCTAAGTACATGGACTGGGTTTGGATGTTAGATCCAATCAACCGTGATTGAAAGAGGCCTTTCCAAGTGTCAGAGGTCACACAGAGAGCCTTCTTCTCTCTGTTGTCTTTATAGCACTGCTACCCAAGTCACCATCAAAGTAACAATTCTAACCTCATGGAGGCTGAAGTTGGCAGCCTTAGAGCATGTGCACAAGTGTCAGAGTCAAACCTACCTGTGAGGGATCAATGGTCAAAGCCTCTCAGAAGGCGAAAGGCTGAAACTGAGAGAGGGCAACTGGATTCTCTCTTATTCTGTGTTACAGCTGAAACAAGGACCCCCATGAATGTGTAATCTGGAAATGAATGACTGCCACCCAAGATGACCTGTTCCATGAAGAGTGGGCCCTTGTTCCATCCCGGCAGCCTGGCTAACTTACACCCAAAGTAATCACACAGAAACTGTTTTAATTAAATCACTGCCTGGCCCATTATCTCTAGCCTCTTATTGGCTAACACTCCCATCTTGATTTAACCCATTTCTATTAATCTATATATCACCACAAGGTTGTGGCTTACTGTTAAAGATTCAGCGTGTCTGGTTCTGCGGCTCCATGGTGATTCACTTTGCTTTCTTTCCCCAAGAATTCAGTTCTGTTTTCTCTGCCTACCTAAGTTCTGCCCGATCAACTAGGCCAAGGCAGTTTCTTTATTCATTATCCAATAAAAGCAACACACAAGCAGAATGAACTCCTATATCATTTCCCTTTTTCTGTTTAAACAATAAGAAAGGCTTTAATTTTAACATAGTAAAATTACATATAACAAAACAGTTATTAAGCAAGAATTACAGTTACAATATTTATATCTGCTTTATCTTTTATCATAACTAAGGAAAACTATAAATATAACTATAAATTCTTCAACTCCACGTATGCATGAGAAAACCCCTTTTGCACCCTCTGAGCAAAGAGAAAGTAGGATTTAGACAGCAGTGATTGGTCAGAAAGTGAATGTGCAGTTCCCTACATTAGTGTTTCCTTATTATTTTTTTTTATCATACAGGATTTCTCTGTGTAACTACAGCTGTCCTTGTACTTGCTTTCCTGAGCAGGCTGTTCTGGATCTAAGAGATCCTCTTTACTCTGCCTCCTTAGTGCTTGAAGAAAAGGCGTTTACTGACATGCTCAGCTGTATACTGTCCTTTTAATCTCAAGAGAAAAGTCCTTAGATTTCCTCAGAAATTTCATGAGCTCAAAGCTCCTCCTGAGAATGCCCTTCCTCTGGATTCAGACTATTTCAAGCTATAATCCAGGGCTTCCCAGGAGAAATCTGGAACCATGTCTAGACCCATATTATAGTAGTAGGAATTAGGAGTCCAGAAGAGCACAGTGATGAGGATGACAGGCCTTGTATCCCACCTGTGCTGAACGTATCAGGGTATTTCACATTCGGCTTCTTGACCTTGCCTGCTGTAGTCCTAGACATGGGAATTGCACTTCTCCTAGTGATTTCCAGAAGGTCAAAGTTCGGCATATGCTCAATGCTCCAAAAATTGTTTCCTTGAGCACACTACTTTCCATCTCTTTCCCTACTAATCTTGAGCTTACTCCCTAGACCCTGCTGTGACCTACTAGCTCCTTCCTTTATCTGAGAAAACCTTTTTCCAGGGGGACCATGAAGTTATGCTCCCTCCTGGCATCTCACAATGGGGAAGCCAAGATTACCATCTGTAAATCATCTAGAAAAGGGCTGAGGTGACTCAGGAATATCAGAGAGGATGTGTACACACCCAACACAAAATGCTAGAATGTAGCCTTGAAACCTTCCACAGGAAGAGGGAGCCCACAGTCCTATCAAGGACACACAGGTCACCTCTTTCCCAACACTGAGCACATGAAACTCCTCACACAACTGCTCCTGGGCTTCATTCCTGTAGAATTAATTTGACTGGTGACATTAGAGATAAAGCACTGATCTTCATCTCTAGTCAACACTCAACTGATTGCTTTCCATTCCTCAGAGACATTTCTGTCACCTTCCTGCAGGGATTACGTAAATACCTCATTCCAAGAACATTGAGAACACTGGGTAATCTGGGTGCTCAGCTTGGTCTCTGTGTCATAAGGACACATAGACATGATGGAGGCTCCCTCTTTGATGCTGCCAGACCCAAGGCAAGGACACAGCAGGTGTCAGCCCTAGGATGAGCCATTGTTCTCTGAGGGCATGTGGATGCTTATCAGCATTGCTTCTCAATGAGTTGTTTGACGGAGAAACATAAAGGGAAGTTGAGTGGGATGCAGGGCAACGCTGAGAGTGGAAGGGATTGAGCAGTGCCTTGTCCTCAAACCCCACCACTCACAGCCCATTGGATTCTGAGAAGTGCTTCTGTCTGAGAAGAATCTCAGACCAGAAGAAGGAGGAACAGCAGAGCCTGAGTTCTGTGTTGCAGTTGAGGCTGTTCTTCACAGAGGAAGGACAGCGAGTGAGATTAATGGAGGAGTCCACTGTGTTCCTCTGCAAAGGGTGTACTCCTTGGCAGGGTCTTCTGCTCACAGGTAAGGGTACCCACTTTCTCAGTGTGTGTGGGTCTTCTGCTCACAACTAAGTGTACCCACTTTCTCAGTGTGTGGGGGACTTCTTCTCACAGGTAAGGGTACCCACTTTCTCAGTGTGTGGGGGACTTCTGCTCACAAGTAAAGGCACCCATTTTCTCAGTGTGTGTGGGACTTCTGCTCACAGGTAAGTGTACCCACTTTCTCAGTGTGTGGGGGTACTTCTGCTCACTTGTAAGGGTACCCACTTTCCCAGTGTGTGGGGGTACTTCTGCTCACGGGTAAGGGTACCCACTTTCCCAGTGTGTGGGGACTTCTGCTCATGGGTAAGGGTACCCACTTTCTCAGTGTGTGTGGGACTTCTGCTCACGGGTAAGGGTACTCACTTTCTCTGTGTGTAGGGAACTTATGCTCATGGGTAAGTGTACCCACTTTCTCAGTATGTGAGGGACTTCTGTTCACATGTAAGTGTACCCACTTCCTCAGTGTGTGGGGAGGGCCTCTCAAAGGTAGGCAGGAGTCTGATAAAGAGGACAGGATCTTGGGAGGAGGCTCAAGGTTTCTGTTTGTAGTTATGGTGCTGAAGGTACAGTGAGGGACAGGGGCTCAACAGCTTGGAGTCCTCAGGGGACAGGAGGTGATAATATTAAAAAAGTCTAAAGGACACCATACTCATAGTAAATTTTATTGGCTGCACTGTCCTGAAGACAGCTGTTTCCAACCATTACAGCATGACCTTTCAAAGAGAAATTAAATTGGTGGGTTAGCAAGATGTTTCAGTGTGTGAAGATTTGACAACTTGAAACCAAATCCTAGCCCTCATATAGTAGATGGAGATAACAGACACCTGCAGGCTCTACCCTGCCCTCCACATTGGTGCTGTGTCATGTACCCACACATGCACAGTCTAACACATGTGCTCCCACACAGATTTTGGCATCCATATTTATATTTGCCCAAGGAATCAACAGCCTTCACAAATACACACAAAAATTCATGAAGTGTAAATTCATTTACTTTACACCTGAATATAATTATTGCCAAAAGCTCCAAACCTAAGACTTATGAAGAAAAATCAATGGAGACACAGTTTTCTTTCCATCCTTCCCTTTTTTCTTTATCCGCTTGTATTTGGGTCATTTCCAGGAACTGAACCTCCCAAAATGTTCAGACTAATCCTGCCCTTACAAATTCCTGGTTTTGCTAGGCAGTGGTAGTTCAGCCTTTTAATATAGGACTTGGGAAGCAGAGCAGATGATCTCTAAGTTTTGATGTCCAGACTGTCTACAGAACAAGTTTTAGGACAGCCAAGGTCACAAAGAAAAACCCTATCTCAAAAAACCCCCAAAACTCTGAAACCAAAACCAAAACCAAAACCAAAGAAACAAACAAAAAGCACTTCTTTTAGTGTATCTGATGTCAGTATGTCTGATGAAGTCATGAATTGACAAGAATCACAAAGGGAACAGACACAAAATCAGAACATAAACTCTCCAGAAGAGGAGTTCAGAGCAGCATTGCTCCTCACACGAAGTACACTATATGAGGAGGGACATGGGACACTGAGTGGGAAATAAGGCAGACACCTGAGCAGATAATTTCTAAGAGAGTTTCTGACATACTCAGACACCCAAGGGAATCAATGGAAGTCATACTGCTCATGTCCTCAAAGGAAAGTGGGCACAGCCCTACTCACAAAACAAAGCTAAGTGATGATCACACCTGTCTTACATCTGTTTTTCTCAATTCTTTTCTAGTCTCCCTTTTAAGCTCCTGGCATCTGTCCACAAATGCCCATATGACTATTGAAAAAGTGCCAACCCTAGTTGCTGAAGGAGATGATGTCCTTTTCCATGTCAATGATCTGCCAGAGGATATTACAACCATAGCCTGGTTCAAAGGTCTAAGAAATACAACACAAGGAATTGGAGCATATGCACCGCACTTAAATTTGAGTAGGCCAGGTCCTATGTACAGTGGTAGAGAGACAATATATCGCAATGGATCCCTGCTGATAAAAAATGTCAACCCGATGGACACTGGATTCTATACCCTACGAACTTATAGTCATGGAACTATGATATCAATAACATCCGCGTACCTCCAAGTGTACGGTAAGTGATTCACTGTGAACTCTGTGAGCTAGGTGAGGTTCATTTCAATGGACACATACAGAAGAGTGGTCTGTGCCTACCTTCCCTATTCACTGTATCCCTGTGTTGGGGTTTGAGCATTTGGTTCAGTATACAAATGACATACAATAATAGCAATAGATCAGAATGCTTCATTTGACTTTATCTTGCACATAGGTGGATGCATGGTGGATACCACAGCCAAGGATTTCAGGCTCTGTATAGACTCTAGGGATTCTTACCAGGAATGTTTCCTTGAGAAAGACTCTGAGGGAATCAATGTTGTACTTAGTTGAGGAAAACATGAGATCCTCATAGAGGTGTGAGCACTTGCATGCTCTGCCTTCAGACCTCTGTCTCAGACACAACGTCAGGTGTCCATGAGAAGCATTTTATAAGTGTTTTGAATTTCCTATGGCAGAGGGCAGTGTTCCCTAGTACTTAAAGGGTTGTTCCTTGGCATTTTTCTTCATAGAGTCAGCAAAAAATCATAGGCCAACAGGTGTCCATGCCATTAACTAACTGTCCTTTGGGCATATGATATTTCACATTAAAGTCATGGTCCCTAAGGAGGGGACTGAGGACAGAGATTGTCCTGAAAAGTGTTTGTCTTCTGGGTCCAGCTTGGGGAATTCTCTTGGGAAATGGCTACAGTCTATGCTGATCTGACAATTTCTAGTGAAATACTTAAGACTCAACTTAGGAGGATCTCTCTCTCTCTTCCTTTCTAGCTTTCATTTGGAAGTGTGGGCGCCTTGCTACCTCTTCACAGTCCACCATTGAATCACTGCCACCCAGCGTTGCTGAAGGGAGAAATGTTCTTCTACTTGTTCGTAACCCTCCAGAAAATATTGTAGAGTTTGTCTGGTTCAAAGGAGTGGTTGACTTCAAGAACATTTTGGGTATTCGAAATATAGCAGACAGGAAACCAACTGTGTGGGGACCTGCATACAGTGGTAGGGAGAGGCTGTACAGTGATGGATCCCTGCTGCTTCGTGGTGTCACTCAGAAAGACCGTGGATTGTACACACTACGAATCCTGAGAGCAGATACAGGAAATGAAGAAGCATTAGTGCAACTCCAGGTGGAGAGTAAGTGATTGTCTTAGATTGTTCAGTGTTGGGTAGGGCTTAGACACACATGGCCTCCCTTCCTTTTGCACTGTCTTCCCAGATGGAAGTTTGAGTACCTAGTGTAGGACACAGGTAGAGACAAATTGTTGTAGATCAGCTTTCTTCTTCTGACACCACCTGCAGCAAGGAAGACAGTGATGGAAAATAAATTCAGGCAAAAATGTTAGAGTCAGCCCAGTCTCTTGGGGCTCTAGACCAGGGAGCCATGAATCCTGTCACCTTTCCAAGGCTGGATTAAAGTTACCCAGGGAAGTATGTTTTTCTAGTGCCCTACTCTTAAATCCTCTTAAACCAGAAAGGGAACAGTGGTTTTAGAACATCCTTTTCAAACTGGGATATTTATTAGATTCAAATTCAGAGTGTTATAAATTAAATGCAGGAACTTGTAGCACTATGGAGGAGTGCTTCCTGTTGACTTGCTCTTAATGCTTGCTCAACCAGCTCTCTCATATGACCCAAGACTCCTAGCCCATGGCTTAAAATGCCTATCTTGGCCTGAATCCTTTTGCATCAATTTTAAAATGTACTATAGTTTTTTCTCACAGGCCAATCTGATGGTGGCATTTTCAACTGAAGCCCCCCCCCTTTTTTTTCAAAATGACTGGAGCTTGTGTCTAGTTGACATAAAACCAGTCGGTCTAGTACCCAAGCATTTTAAAGACCTGAGCCTGCCTTGACGATCAGACTGCTCTGAGCCCCCACACATAGTCCTAAAGGCTACTCGACAGAGCATCAAGTACATCTATTAGGTGAATTCAGGGGTTGAATGTTGCCTCAAAGGAAATAGAAGAAAATACTTGGAAAATGAAAATTTTCGGGCTTGTTGAGTTCAGGGGAGGCGTCATCTCAAACCCCATGTCTAGAAATGTGTGCAATATTTTATTGAGGGTGGTGAGGGAAAAGATATGTAGACACCCAAGGGGGACAGTTCCATGTAGAGGATCTGACACTTTCAGCGGCACTTTTGGAAAGGAGGAGGTCATGTTTCTGCCCCTTATTAAGTGGTGTAGACATATACCCAGCTGCAAACATAGACTGATTGATGAATTCATCTGCTCAAGATGGAGGTCACCATCTTTTCATCAAGCACAATGATCCCTATGTGATGACTTTTTTCTCTTCTCTCCCAGCTTACCTTTCTGTGTCCTGTAATCCTCTCACTTCTTCCCAACTCATGATCCAACCATTGCCTCAGTATCCTGCTGAAGGTGAAAGCATATTTCTTCAAGTTCATAATCTTCCAGAAGACGTGAATGCCTTTTTCTGGTACAAATCAAAGAACAGGACACCAGTCCTTAGAATTGTAGAGTATGTCGGAACCACACATTCCATTACTTGGGGACTTGCACACAAGAGAAGAGGAATGGTGTACCTTAATGGATCTCTGATGCTCCAGAATGTCACCGAGAAAGATGCAGGAATGTACACACTAGAAGTTTTAAACAAAAATTTTGATATTCAAAAAGCATACGTGGAATTTTATTTAAAGAGTAAGTGATTCTCTATGGTCTCCAACTGCTGGGTGTGATTTATGCTAACTTCATACAGTGAACTGTCAGGATTTGGCTGTGCCTCCTCTTTTACCACTGCATTGTGTCTCCTACTGGAGGACACACATAGTTTAGACAAACAGAATAGATCAGAACACCTCACCTGCAGAGAAGAGGACCTGTACTGGGTAAATTCAGTCCCAGGATGTCAGTTCCAACCCAGACACTTGGATCTCTTATTACGCATATGTCCCCAGAAAGACTCCATGGGAGTCAGGTATGCCCTGGCTGTTGAAGTCATGGGGTCCTCACAGAGAGCATCATGAATCCCTGGTTATAAAACTTTGCCACAGGATTGGATAAGTGCGACATTGGGGAGGTTTTTTTTTTTTTTGCAACTATTTGTTTAGATTTTCTGTCAGAGACAACATGAAACAAGACTTTACTGATTCTATGATTCATGGGACTGACTACCCCATAGAGTGTTGAATCAACAGTATACTTCCATGAGAGCTGTAGTTAGGTAGGTCATCTGTGCATTTCCTTCTCCTGAGGCTCAGTAGACAAGTATCTGGCCCATGAAAAGTCAAGACACCAAGGAAAGAAACAGAGGAGGCAGTTACTCCAGAGTCCTCCTTCACTGCAGGGGCCCAGCCTAGGGAATTTCTTTCTGTAGGTCAATAGAACAGATGGTGATGATGTGAGCAGTTCCATCCCCAGGTCAGACCATGGCTCGTAATTAAGCTTAGCTCACAGACATGGCCATGTTCATGTACTGTGTGTCCTATTGTGGGGAAATGGAGAAATAGGAAACAGTGCCGGAATCAGGCAATACAATAAAATCCCTGGGTGGCAGATTAAAAGCACAAAATATGTCTATAGTCACAGTTCAAAGTTTTTCCCACTCGTAGCTTTATAAAGTATGAACTAAAAAGGGCCTGGTTGAACTCTCTGGATGACTGCCATTTGGTATTCTCCTCTGTTTCTTTACAGAGCCTGTGATACAGCCCTTTGTGCAAATTACTAACACCACAGTCGCAGGACGTAGATCTGTGATCTTCACTTGCATTTCCCCAGACACTGATGTCTCCATCCGTTGGATCTTCAATAAGACGAATCTACAGCTCACAGAGAGGATGACTCTGTCCCCAACAAAGTGTGGACTCAGAATAGATCCTGTCAGTAGCACGGATGCTGGAGAGTATCAGTGTGAGGTCTCCAACCGATTCAGTTCGAAGACCAGTCTCCCAGCCTCCTGGCCATGATGAATGAACGGCCTCTCCTCTCATTCTACAGCAGAGTGGGGGGCATTTGTTTATCGATGGAGTATAAAATGGAGAAAAGTTATGTGGTGAAAATGATTAGTTACCTACTATTCAGGTTCAGCCAGCCTGGTGACTCACCCCCATAATCATGGGATACACATGTATACAGGAGAAGGCCAGGAATTAAAGTGAGGTTGTCTTAAAAAGAAAATAAAAACATTAATATAGGAACCAAAAATTCAAAGGCCTTAAGAGCTTCAATTGCTGTTGAAATATATATATATATACATATATATGTATATATACACATGCACATATATACATATATATGTGTATATGTATATTTTTTTCCTCAGAATTTATGGGAACTAATTTCAGGAATCTTCAAATTTTTGTATGCTCTGAGTTGCTGTGAAAATGGTGCCTTGTTTTCATTGAGAAAAATATCTCATGTGCTCAAATACATTCCCTGTTTACCTAATTTACCTAAGCGCAATGCTGCCTGCACACCAGTCCTCCACTTGAAGTGAGGAAGAATGACAGGAGAAGGGTCTGCCCTTGTTTCACTGTGGACATTGCTGGTTTCTAAACAGCTTTGATCCAGTTTGTTTGATGTACAGACGTAAAATCCTTCATGTAAGAGCGGATCATACTGTTTTCACCCTGAAATTATCATTCACTGTAGGACCTTGAGTCTTTTTCTTGTTAGCATTCCTCTTTCCCTTTTTATTCTTCTATGTTTATTACATACTGATCACAGTTTTCCTCCCTTCACTTGTCCCTAAATCCTACTTCCTGTCTACCTCAGGCCCACTCATCTTCTGTTTCCCTTCAAAAACAATCAAGCCTCCCAGGGATATCTGCAGCACATAACTTGGTAAGTTATGTAAGAATTGCTACCATTCTTCATATCAGAGCTGGGAGAGACAGCCCCGTAGGAAAAAATGGGTCCAAACAGCAGGCAAAAGAGTCAGAGCTGTCTCCTTCTTCCACTGTTTGGAGTTTCACAAGAATACCCACCTACATTACCATAATTTATATACTGATTCCCTCGCTTGAACCCAGACAAAGTCTAGGATTATAACTTGAGTCTCTCAATTCTCTATAAGTCCTGTTTAATTGTTTATGTGTTCCATGCTTTCATGGTGTTCTTGACACCTTTGGATTCTACAAACCATCTTTCCCCATTTCTGTGGGGTTGCCCTGGTGTTGCCATGTGTTTGGCTATATTTCTCAGCAGCTGTTCTTATTCATTGCTGGATGATACCGCTCTAATGACTATTAGGCTGTGCAGTTATCTACTAGTGTAACAGAATATCTTTACTAATAGTTTTATTGAAGTGTTTTTACAGGGATCTTTGTTTTTTTCCCCTGAATTTCTGGAATTTTAAGCCTCTGCTTCCTGACCATCCGGACAGTGTCAGGTCTGGGCTCCCTTTCATGGAATAGGCTTTAATTTTGATCAGTTATTTGTTGGTCAACCCCACAACTTCTTTTCCACCATTATCTCCAGTATATATTTCAGGAAGGACAGAATGCAGGTTGAAAATTTTGTGGCTGGATTAGCGTCCCAGTCCCACTACTTGAATTCTTCTGTGGTTATAGAAATGACTGTTTCGGGATACCTATCCCTCACTTCTAGGAGTATTTAATAGTGTTTCTTTTGTAGATTCCAGGGAGTTTCCACTGTAGTAGGTTTCCTCCACATTGATCCCCAAATACCCACTGTTCCAGTTATTCTTCAAATACTTTCTTCTTCCATCCCATCTTCCCCCATCTAGCCAAAAAATCATTTCTATTCTTCTTTCCAGTGTGTAACATGGGTCCAACATGAGTCTTCTTTGTTACTTAGCTTCCCTGTGCATGTGACAAAGTAGGACATATAATGGGTTGTACACAATAGTAGTTTACAGTAGTAGAGCTCAGATGAGTGTGTTTGCTCACCAGTTCCAGAAACTTCTGTAGAATCTTTCTGATTTTTAATAGATGAGCTCATACCATCAGCAGATCTATTGTATAGTCAATTAATTGTTCAATTTTTATTTATTTGTGTTGCCTAATGTTATGTCTAGGGCATCAAAGAGAATACTGAATAAAAGTGGTCACTTCAGCATCCTTGTGTCCATCCTGTCTTAGAGGATATCAGTGTCCCCACTGAGAACTGGGTTTACAGTGGTTTTCCATGTGTGCCCCTAATGTTCTGCCCTGTCT